ACCTACAGGCCAGGGTGGGGATTTAAACCTCTCCCCAATCATACTCAGCAGCCTGCCGAGGCCTGGCCATGCCCCCCACCCCTCCAACTCACCTTCCCTCCAGCCTTCTGGCCACTGCCACAGGGAAGGGAGGGCTCGTTCTAGCGCTCTTCAGCTTCAGCCTGAGCCACCGCAGGTGTATGGCTGCATTTCCGAAATCAAAGGTGAATGTCTGTTCACTTACTTCTCAGTTCAATCTACACAGGTCAGACTAACCTGCAAAGACTGAATCAATTCAGGTTCAGGCTTTTTGAATGTCTGTACTTAGCCCTAGAATATCCCCTACAGCAGAATTTGGCCATTTATACTCTCTTGGAAAATGAAAGGAAGGATAATCCACTGGTAGGATGCTAAGTTTAGATGTAAGAAGCCTAGGTTTCATTCCCTTTTTCACCACAGACCACCTGAGCCACGTTGGGTAAATTGCTTTAAGGTCCCTCCTTAAAATGCATCTCTACCCAACGACCAATCTTTACACAAACGAATAAGAACCAATAAGGGAGAAGAACTAATAAGAGGGATGCTTCCTATTTTATGAGTTAATCTATAAGGTTCAAATCTACCCTGCCTTCTGCCAGGCAAAATCATGACATTTTTCATTACAGCACATCCCCTACCACTCATTTGTGTCCCTAGTACATTGAGGTAGACACTATCACTGTGGTGTTATTACTACAAAAAGAACGGGTGTATTTTTTTTTTTTTTTACCTCTTGCTTCCATATTTCTGTTTAACAATGTACAACACTTCTAAACAGCTGGTAGGTGAAGTGATCTTAGTGTATCCTGCACTGTAGGAGTTCCTCTTTGAATGACTGTTTCAGTGCTTCAGGGGTTTTACTGCAGTTGTATTATTGGAAAATAATACTGTGTTTACAATATTATCCACCAGAAAGACTTAAAATTCACAAGTTCAGGCTCCCAGAATCATGAGTTTAGCTTGAACATAATAACATTTAGTAAATAATATATGCTGGCTTTCTTTATTTGTCTTCTGGTGTTTGGATGTTTAAGGTTCTTTCAAACTGTCCTTCCCACTCAGGATGGCTAGAAAATTACTGCTACTCTAAGAAAACCACTAAGTATAATGAGACACATGATAAAATCACAAGAGTTGAGAACACTGTGCTGCAGCACCAAGAGCATGCCAAAGATTTTAAAAATTATTCCTTATATCTAAATAAATAACAAGATCTGTGCTGAGGGTTATCAGGCTGGAATTTAATCTCCCAGATATAAAGTACTTTCAGTTTTTGGGCTACATCACTTCGCAAAAGGGTGCTCAAACAAAGCCTGCAAACCACTGAACCTCACTTGCAATGGGACACCAACGTGACTGCCTTCTTTCCTGGAGGAAGAACTCACAAAAATACCTGGTCAGCAGTCACAGTCACACAAGGTACCTGTAGATATATGGGATACCTGCTCTGATGCATTGTAATTGCAGCATGTCAGAGCAGACTCGATTAATTTAGTCTGCTCAAATCTGCTAATTAGGTTGCTCCAGCAGCCTTGGCATCTTGTGTATTCAGCATCCTTGCACTTTAAAATGGTGGCAGGGAACTTTAATTAAAGCTCATCCAACTTTAATTAAAGCACCCCTGCCACCATTTTGAAGTGCAGGACGCTGAATATACAGGACACTATGGGCACTTTAATTACAGTGGCCCCAGAGAGCTGCTCGAATTAGAGTGCCCCCCACTCCTGGAGCACATGTAAAGACACTGGCAGTTCCTACCAAACCTGACTAGCCAAGGGGATTTCCAGTACATCTGGAAAAATCTAAATGCTTCAGGGATCTTAAGCATGTTGATCAACACTATCATAAAGCTATTTATTCTACAAGCTGTGGCTGTCCAGAAAACATAAATAGTAAAACAGAATTCTGAACCCCTTGTCTCTATTTTAGGAACACTTTCCGTCACAGTAGCAACATTTAGCTCTCAGCACAGACCAGCGGACACTCCAAGCATCCATGCCATTTTATGTGATATGATCTCAAATAGCTATATTTGTCCTTAAGCTGTGAGTTGATATCAGTTATATGCAGAGCGTGCAGCACATGGTTACATCATTATTGCTAGGAATGTGCCAGTAAAAGCATGTTTTGAAGCAGAGTTTTTGTCAGACAAGAGATTGTGGCCCTATCTGTACTAGAAATGCGAGCCACCAACTGCCCTGCCATGAGTATAGCTGTATGAGTACAAACCCGTGATGTAGTAAGGCAAAGTCATTGTAAGATGCCATCTGCACTGGGGCAAACTGGCCCTGCTTGAAATTGCCCAAAGGGTAGAGAAACCTATATAAAAAAATGGGAATTTTTATAGATCTTGTACTTTTATAGAACTTGTACAACAGATTTACTTTCTGTATTCAGAGCAAAACTTACTGCTGATACTGGTTAACACTGAAGTGCTAGCACAGCAATGGAAGAATGAGCTAGATTCTCCTTTACTTTGTGCGTCAACAACCAAATTATCAGTGATTTCCCATAGTGGCATCTTTGTTACTGATGATGTTGCATGAGTCAGAAAGAATGCAGTACAGCTTTCAAGTCCAAAGTGGAGTTTCCTGGGCCAGTGGATGGGGACCCTAAGTCAGATCTACAGCTGGTGTCAATCAGCATTGCTCCACTGACATCATTTAAGTGAAGATGTTTTATAGGAGTGAAGGATCTGCTACCCACTTCCCTTCCCCCTGCTTCTCTGGCCTTGCAAACTTGTCCAATTTGATACAGAAGACATGGAAAGGGAATAAACCTGAAACCATAAAATGTCATTATGCAGAGAAATTTTCTCCTTAAATATTCTTAACTTTGTGGAATCCATGGTCACATAAGAGTATCTCTGCTTCCTAGCAAGCTTTCATTAAGTACATAAAGTACACTCCTTTCGTGTTAGGATTCTATCCAAAAGGCACTCAAGCACACAGCTCTCAAAGTGGAATTGCCAAATGCCCAAGTTCCCCATACAGTGAATGAGGTGGGTTCAGTGCCCCAGAATGGGGTTCACAACACACAGCACGCTGAGCTTGGGGATACCTATCACAACCACTAGGAAGCTTTGTCTGAGGTTTTCTGTCAAACAAGATCTGAATCAACCCTACAGACATCTAAATGGGACTTAGGTAGAAATTAGGCACTTAAATCATACAAAGTGATCCAAATCACTTAGCTTCCTAGGTTAGATGCTTCCATTTTATACTGAAAAGCGCCTTAGGAACTTAAAGTTGGACTAATGAGCATTCTCAGAAGTAAGAGAGATCAGCTTAACTCCTAGTGCAAAATCTGCTGCAATCTGTATGAACTTGGGAGGTTTGCCTGAGTCCCTGTAGTGTGAATCCCAAATGGCATGAGACAGACAATAAGGGACAGAGACATTCAGCCCAGCCAAGATGGTGGTAGTTGTGGCATGTAGCAGAATTTTCAGCACCTAAGTAAATGTACCAGTGACAATTTAGGCTTGTATGGCGCCTCTGGCACCTCCTCAGTTTGTGGATGGCTCACTTTGACTTACACACATGAACTACAACTAAGCCTAAATCCTTTTCTGGATCTGGCCCAAACTCTTTTGTGAGAAGGATATTTTTGTTTGATATCTCCCTGGCCAAGGTCCTAGTAGAGGATCGTTTTTTAATAGATCTGCAGCATGGTGTGGTACATTATTTACTTTCCATAAGGCCTAATGTTATTAGTAACATATAACAGTAATCACATATCCACAGGCTAAATTATAGATTGGAGTTATTGGAATATTAAGACTATTTAGAGGTCCTTAAATTTCTAAAATACCAATGAGCCTGAACCCACGGCTACTGCTTTTCTTACTTGCAGGAAGTGGATTCTCCTGATATCATGAGAAACTGTAGGATTGTTGTCTCTCTGGTCCCTTATGAAAAGGGGGCAGATTCTTCTCTCATTCACTTTGGCATCAATTCAGGGTAAACCCAATAAAGTCAATGGAGGTTATTTTGGATTCAGCCCAGCTGAAAAACTTGGCTTCACCAAAATGTATGCGTCCCAAGAAACTATCTTGCAAGCAACACTTTACGTTGTAAATATTTATACAAAATAAGCTAACTCTTGTTACCATGAGCTCCCGCTGTTCAGAAGAAAAACATTATATGCAGTCCAATCTGTAGTTTAAGTAGGGTTACATGACAAATTAACTGAGTAAAACCAAACCACAAAGGCAATAAAAATAATAGCTAAGCATCCTCTACTCCAGCTCAAATCCATATCTTCAGAACAGATTAATGCAGTACTCACTCTGAAAGGCATAAAGGCCCTCTGTTGCCTTATCTTCATGCCCATCAAATTCTCTGCTGGCTAGCTGCCTATTGGCAGTCTCAAGTCGTTCTGCATGTAAACAGGAAATACTTTAAGTATAAATATATGTATATAAAATTATAGGCCAACCAAGAAAATAAGATGCGTGCCAGTGGGATGCTATAAATAGATCCTGAGACAGGAGATATTAAAATGGAGGAGACTGAAGAATATATGAGTAGAGGATGAGACCCCACACTCCAGAAGAACAGCCTTTTTTTCTAGTTGCTAACAAGCTGTTTATTGGTTGGCAGAATTCATGCCTTCATAGATTTTCAGTTCAGAGGAGATAATTAGATCTTCCAGTTCATAGCACAACGGGGCTTCTTTCTTGGTTGGCCTTTAGGAAGTTATAATAAACAGGATTAATAATAATAGTTTGATCTCCTACATAATGCAAATAGTGTTTCACTCTGCAACAAACCTAGTAACTTATGGCTGACTAAGAATCTGTCCCAGAACTTGATTTAAAGATGCTGAGTGATGAAAAACCCACCCCATCCCCTTAGTAATCTGTTCCAACCATTTGCTACCCTTACTGTTAAAACCTGCACACCATTTCCCATTTGAGCCTCTCTAGCTTTCAGGAGATGAGGCCAACATTAACAATCCAGGAAATATGATGGACCTGAGCACAAAACGTGGCATGAACCGCAGCATACGATTTCTCCAGCTTGCCTATACCATAGCTTCAGTGAGTCCCTCTGAAGACCACCCTGCCCACCTGTGCTCAAAAGCATGCTCCAAGCCGCATGCCAGTGAAACTGCTCCAGGCTTGTCCCTCTGTGCCTGCTCTTAGACCCTCCATCTCTGACAGGACTGAGAGGTCACTGAAGAAGAGCCCAGACCAGCCTCCAAGGCAAGCTCTCAGGTTTGGAGAATGTCAGTAGGCATGGGTGGGCAGGGCATGGGCATCCTCACTAGGATCCAACACCGCTGCAGCGTGGACAAGTTCCTTGTGGTTGTATGTAAAAGTCAGCTCCATGGAAACAGCTAGCATGGACCCAATACGTATATCCCCTGCTTTAGGTATAATGGGATGGTGAAACAGTGCACAGGCACTGGGCTGGGGGTTTACACAGGGGTGACTCACAGTCTAAGGTCAAAGGCAGTTGTGCTATGGCCAGCAGCTCTGTATGTCACCACGGAAAGACCTTCACTCATGAAGAGCAGCAGCTATTGATGTAGCCAAAGCTCTGCTTGGAACCGTGACTCCCTCTGCACATGTTTATGGTTCCTTTCACTCCCAATCAGCCACTGATCAGTCTACATTGCCTTCACTCCCTTGGCCCTAGCTGTAATTTAACTCTTCACCTCCAGTAAAGCTTGCCAGCTTCCCTTCTGTATTGTGTACAAACATGGCCTCAGCTTTTAAAGGGTGTCCACTGGAGAAGAATCCATGCACTTTCACTGAGTAGTCTACAATCTACACTTGCACTTGCATGCAAAAAAGTGCCTCCTAATTTCCGATACTCAAAGGGAAGCCCTGATGATGACTCCCCTCCCTTTGTAACTATAAAGCACTTCAATATTATGTTATGCTATGCTACAGCTTATTGTTGAGCTCCTTATAGATAGCTTAGATTTACACATTGGTGATCCTGGGACTAAATTAGTATTTTAAGGGCTAAAACAAAAAACTTTTGCTTAAAGCTGTTTTTCATGTATGTTTGTACCCAGGGGGACAACAGTAGTTTTGTCCCTTACCAAAGAAAAGAGGTTGATTTCTCAAGGGGTTTACCTAGAACACTCAGGAAACTGTTTGTCCAAAGCCTGCAGCTGGTGACGTGGAGCCTGATAATTTTGGAGAGATAAGAACATATCACTTGGGGTGAAAACAGCTGTAAGGAGCTTCACATACCACGGAGATCCCTGTTGAAATCATGAAGTCTCCTAATTTCTCCTTCGAGCTTGTTTCTCATAGCCTTGTCCAGAGACTCTCTCTTAGTCGTGGTCTTGACCAGGCCCTCATAGGCTTCTGAAATCCTTTGAATTTCTATTTCAAACTGAAAGGAGAGAGACCTCTCATTAAAGCAAGGCAGGAATGCATATCATTCTGACATTCGCTGTGGAACATTTCAAAGGGGGTTTTATGTGTCAGGGCTGACGAGCGTTCCAAGTTTCACATAAGCATACGGTTCTATAATAAGACTTCTCATAGACAGATGACAAAGCTGATCCCTGTGCATGTTTGAACATTCCTACTGCAACGAGCAATCAACTCCCCACCCACGCCGAAAACATCCTGCTACAACAGCATAACGCAATACTTAGCCAAATGCTTCTGAACAAAGTCAAAGTGGAGATCAGTGTGGCATAACAACTTCACCTTCTCCTTTAGCTTCCGTTTCTTCAACAACAAAGGCCTTCACTTGAAAACTGCCCTGGGAGGGAAGGTACTAAGGAAATAGGGTGGGCTACATTTTATCTTAGAAAGGGTTTGAAGAGGCAGGCTTATTACCTGACCATGAAAGACGATTCCCAGATGAAAAACTCAGCTGTGAACACCAAGTCCCCACGTAAACCAACTGTGATCAGTTTTACACCACTATAATCCATCACTTTCAAGGGAGCTACTCCAGTATAAGTGAGAACAGAATTGCACTTAGCAAAAAAACCCCAAAACCCACCCCCAAAGTTTTAACACTCTTCACTTTGAAAATGGGATTCAAATCCAAACTTTCCCCAACTCCTGGATGCCTAGATTTGGTATGTAAACTATTACAAAGAGAGACTTATATTACAAACTTAGATCCCAGGCTGGACCCAAGGGTGGCAGCAGGCAAGTTAAGTGCAGGGTGTGGTTTTCAGCTATGATAACAAGCTTGTAGAGTCCAGAGATAAGAGAAATCTATAAAAAAAAAAAAAAAAAAAAGAAGGCATGATGGATATGAACCTTATAGACCAACTAAATCAGAGATGTATAAGCTTTCATGAGCAAGAGCTCACTTCATCAGATGCTAAGTGAAGTGAGCTCTTGCTCATGAAAGCTTACGCATCTCTGGTTCAGTTAGCCTATAAGGTGCACCTCTACTCTGCCTTCTGCCAGACTTCAGACTAGCATGTCTAACTACCCCTCTGAAAATAAATACAAAATAACAACCAGAGCTTTAGCCTGTGTCCTGCCACAGCTTTACTGAAAATAGTGGTGCTACACTGACTTACACCAACTCAGGATTGGACTCTATGTTTCCAGTCCTCACATTTGTTAAGGAAAGCCTAAAGGTAGCTGTAAGAACCAGTAAACAAATACCAAGAAGACAGTATTCCTTTTTTAAAATCTCATGATTTTTAAGCCAACCTCATGACGTTTTAGGCCTGACTCATGATTTCTGGGCACTGGATCTGAGTCCACCTCTGCTTACAATAGACTTCACGCAGGCATGAGAACCCTGTAGGGAGGATGCGGCTATTGGACTTATTGCTGCCAACTGCAGCATTGGAAAAGTAGAAACCCAGCTGGTATCACAGTAATGAAAAATATTTGCAAGATGACCTGAAACCATGTGAAAGCAACACAGACTCATGCTTCATCATCCAGATTTGCCATAAAGTTTGGGAATATTTAGAACAGTGCGTGATGTGAAACTTGGCAGAGTTCTGATATGGAATGAAGTAGGAGAAACTCAGCCATTTCCACAGAATTTCAGTTTTCAATTTATTCAGACGCTCAAGATGTACAAATCTTTATGATGGAAAGTAGTATGGTAAATAATGGAACTGATCCAAAGCTGATGGAAGTCAATAAAATATCTCCTATTGGAAACAAAGGAGATCCAACTTGGTTCAGGCCCCAAACTTGCCAAGCATCACACCACGTATTCAGCTTTCCGGATCATTTACCAAGTGTTATGTGTTTTACACAGGTAAAAACATCATCATCATAAGCAGTCAGATTTTTAAAAATGCCTTTGCCAACAAAAACTACCTCCTGTCCACTGCTTATCAAGTGACACTCAGTCTTACATGGTATGAAGAAAACAATGACCTTTCTACATAGTGGGTGCATCACATGTAAAATTAGTGTGATGAAATAAACCCTGGCACAGTTCATGCTGGACTTTAGCGCTCCCGGAAGCAGCATTTACATGTGCACCTGGGACTGCAGCACACTGAGCTTGGGCAGTGCAGCCCCTGGCTGGCAGGGGGCTCAGGGGGGTCAGCCAACCAGCCTGAAGCTGCTCTACCCTGGCTCAATGTGCTGCAGAGGGGCTGGATGAGGCACAAGGTGCTATAGTAGGAGGCTATAAGTGTGTTGCAGCAGAGTAAATAACTCCCTGTAAGATGGTACTTGCGTCAGGCAGTACTAACCTCCGGTGAAGTTAATTAGTTTACTCCAGTCTAATAGCTCCGTACATGTAGATGGTAATGCTTTACTGTGGAGCTAACTAGGCAACTGCAATAAGTGTCTCATGTAGATGCCCCCTGTGAGCTGGTATGTTCTGAAACACTTTTCTAGTCCTACCTCAAATTATCATCCTAACTTCTTATTTTGGTTTTAAAAGCAAGGGCTCCAGGAAGCAGCATTATTTTTTAGCTAATTTTATCGTGGAAGGTGGACTTTCCTCCTAGCCCAGCTGACATAGAACAAGACACCAGTAACATTCTGACCACAGAAGAAAGCATGTTTAAAGTAACTCTACAGAAATCTTGCCAGTACTTTGTTGCTACAAGACAAGCACCTGGCATGGGAAGAGATTTTATTTTATGCTCTTTCCTATATACAAATGGAGAACTGGCCAGCAGTTTCTTTCCCAACAGCAACAGGCAAACAGGCTCAAATATGATCCTTTACCCTCTGTCCCCAAAGAATCCTTGTCCAACCTGAATCTTTCCCATCCTGTCCAAAATAGCTTTTCTCATGAGATTGTGTCCAAACTTGGCTGCTTTATAGGAGATGAAAAACAAAAATGACTGAACATTTTAAAACCTCATGAGACAGCCTCTTTTTTTGCAAGTTTTCCAGGATACTTTGCAAAATCATACTTTTTACTTAGTTGGCTTTTGCTTCACAATAACACTTACCACCCAGAAGTGCCCTGAACTTATAAAAGTGTTTTCCACGCATGAGTGTGAAGTAATAGAAAGTCATAGATTCAGAGATTTCAAGGCCAGAAAAAACCTATTATGATCATGTAGCCTGGCTTCTGCCATCTGGTCATTTGTAAAGCTTCCCCACTGGCATTGACAAGCCCTATCTGACTTAAGAAGTCTACAGGCCAACTAGGAGTAAGGTAGTCCTGGATTTGGTTCTAGTCAAAGGGGATAATCTACTGAGCAACCTGAGGATTGAAGGGAAGCTAGGTGACAGTGACCATGAGATGATCACTTTCTCCATCTATCGTAAGACTTGGAAATCATCAGTAGGGCAGAAATCCTTGATTTTAATAAAGCTGACTTCCACAAGCTTAGGAGATTGGAGGGTGAGGCCCTGTGGAACCACTGTCCAATGGAGAAGGAAGTCCAAAAAGAGTGGTTGTTCTTCAAGGATGCAATCCTTGAAGCACAAAGGAAATCCATTCCTTTTCATAAGAAAGGCAGCAAAAGGGCTAGGAGACCCCTTTGGCTTAATAGGGAAGTCAACGACCTCCTGAAATCAGAAATAGAAGCTTATAATGATGCAAGTCAGGAATCACCACCAAGGAGGAGTACACAACAATAGCCCACACCTGTAGGAAGTGGATTAGAAAAGTAAAGGCAGAAACTAAAATCAAATTGGCAACAAGAATCAAGGCCAATAAAAGTCCTTCTTTAGGTGTAGTTTCATAGTTTCTAGGGTCGGAAGGGACCTGAGC